ATTCTAGGGATTGAATCTGAAGCCCGCTCTTCGTCTTCCCAGCAATAAGAATCCCTTGCACCCTCCTTACTCTCTCCTCCAACTCGAGCAGAACGGTCGCCTTCGCCGGCGACGACAACTTGTCCCTGCTCCTCAGCCTCCTCTTAATCGACATCGCGAAACAAAGTAGCAGCAGTGACGGAATGAAGACGAGAGCCCTCCGCCTCCTCTTAATCGCCGCCGTGAAACTTGTCCTCCGCCTTCTCCAGTTTTCCCTTTACTGATTGACGGAATGAAGACGAGAGTCCAGTGGTAATTACAGAAGTCTTAGCGGCGACTAATGGTTTTGGGATTGAGAATCAGAATCAATTGAAGAGGAGGAAGGTTAGTGGAGTTTTTTCGTTACACCTCGAACTCGAAATTCGTTGTGTGAAAATCGGTGCTCCCCTACCGCGCTCTGTTTGTTGTTTGCTTACGCCACCGCCACCGCGTTCATGCCCCATCGCGAGTCAGATCTGTATCCAGAACTGTCTTCTCTCCCACTGGGGACCAGATCTCCCAGCTCCGGGATGGAGGTCGAGCAACTATTATATTGTAGAGCGCCAGGTCTTATCGTCGAGAAAAAAATGAAGAATGGAAGGGCTTACATCAATGCCCAAGGGAAGTTGGGATTGATTGGATTGGGCTACATCAATGGCGGCGAGGGTTGAAGGCAAGGGAGACTGCGTGGAAGAAGATGAAGAGTTTCTGGTTGGATTGATTTTTTAAATGTTTATTGTTTTGTAAACTTAATTAGAATAAAGGAAGAAAGAGAGAAGGACGTGTGGTGCATAAATACTTTCTATTTTTTATTTTTTTAATCCACATGGATTATCACTATTTAAAGTGACTCGCCATGTCAACCTTTCGTTAGTCTAGTCATCGTGTTAACTGACGCCGTTAAAGTATTGGACGGAAGTGGCTATTTTTGGTATTTCGTCAAAAATGGCTATATCTGGCCAAACCGTCAAAGTTTTGGCTACACAAATGTATTTTGCCAAAAAAATATTGCAGTGACAAAATTTCTAAAAGGATTATAGATATAATTTGTTCTTCTACTATGTATGTTTCTCAAGCATGTCTCTCTATTATTACATCAAATTCAGTATTTTATTATCTAATAATTCTCGAACGTAACCTTCTATTAACTGTTTTACCACAAAACCATTATCACAAGAAATGAAGAGGGAAAGGACATTTTTACCCTTTGATGTTTTTAACACATCTTCCTTGCCCATTATCTAAGCTTGTCTAACGGCGAAGAACCTCACCCCAAGTCACCCTTTCCTTCCCTCACGACGCTTTTGTCTCCCCTCCTCGGTTGATTTCCAGAATCTAAAATTAATCATTCAAATTGAAAATAAGAAATGAGAAGTGAAGTTTAATGAAAGACAGATGATGAAGGGGGATTTTCTCAAGATCGGAGAAGTCCTAGTGAGAGATGGATGTTATGGGACAATTCAAGTACCACATCGGTAATACAAGGGAAGAAACCCTTGTATATAAGTGTCCACCAAACTCATTAGTATGAGGCCTTTTGGGGAGGACCCCCAAGAGTAAAACCGTGCGGGCTTGGCCCAAAGCGGACAATATCGTACTAATTGAGCTCCCCGGTTATGACAAGTGGTATCAGAGACTGGTTCGGTTCGGGGCGGTGGACGTCAGTTTGGTGGACCCTCATTCGGTGACCTCGGGATTTATTTGTCTGGTGGGTCAAAGGAGATTCGCGCCTGGTTTGGTGGATCCATGAGAGATCCACGTTTGGGCTACATCTGGTTTGGCGGATCAAAGGAGGTCCGCGTCTATCTGGTGGATCTGGGAGAGATTACATCTGGTTTGGCGGATCAAAGGAGGTTCGCGTCTGTCTGGTGGATCTAGGAGATATCTACGTCTGTTTGGCGGATTAAAGGGAGTTCCGCGTTTAAGAAAATTCATATACCGAGAAGCCCATCGATACAAGGTGTCTGGCATATCAAGATAATCGTTGAGAAGAGGACACGAAGTTTGTGATCCTTAGTTTGAGGGGAGGATTGCTATGGGACAATCCAAGTACCACATCGGTAATACAAGGGAAGGAGCCCTTGTATATAAGTGTCCACCAAGGACATTAGTATGAGTACTTTTAGGGAGGACTCCTAAGAGTAAAACAGTGCGGGCTTGTCCCAAAGCGAACAATATCGTACTAAATGAGCTTCCCGGTTATGACAAGGGCAATATAGAAACTCAAAATGACACAGACATCGTAGCAAGAGACTTACTATGAACACAATAAAAATAAATATAAATGATCTCTTGACTCTTTACCTCAGTAGAAAGAACACATCCATGCCACATGTGAGTAGTTTATCCCTTGTGGCAATCCTATCAAGTGTTAGCAGGAGGGTAATGATACGATTTCTAGGCAAGACATACTCAAACCATAGCATCATATACTAAGTAACAGCGGATTTACGAGATCTTATCGATTCTCATATTGTCTTAACATGCATAGTATCTGAAAAGTGTTTTGCCTTGTCAGGACTCCTAACCTTGGTCATCCGGTCCCATGGGAGCGGATATGGTGACAACACCATATTTGTTGTTATTGTAACAACACTAGCCTCCAACCAATAGGAAGCTAGGGTTGTGATGACTTTTTATTAGTTTAGTTGACCTAGTGTAAAATCAAAACAGGGGTATAATTGTCATTATGAAAAATATGTTTAAATAATAATAAAAATAAATAATAATTTTTTTGTTTTCTGCCCAAAAATTTTGTCGCCGGAAACTGGTTGCCGGTCACCAGAATATGTTTTTTGTCGCCGGAATATGCTATTTGTTGCCGGAATATGCTTACCGGCGTCGGAATCTGCTCACTGACGGTCATCGGAGTTCGGTCAACGAACTTCGTATACCGGTCAACAGTCAACGATAACCAGATGTTATGGTTAGCATTGTGAGATTTATGGTTTGGTTTGTCATATTTTTTTATGCCTTTTGTGGTTTGTTTTATCGTGTTTGTGGTTTGCATTGAGAAGTTTCTGGTTTGCTTTCAAAAACTTTGTGGTTTGCATTGTGAGGTTTATGGTTTATTTTAATATATTTGTGGTTTGCATTAGGACGTTTATGGTTTGCTTTTTTGTGGTTTGATTTACTGTGTTTGTGGTTTGCATTAGGAGGTTTCTGGTGTGCTTTCGCAAATGTTGTGGTTTGCTTTGTGAGGTTTGTGGTTTGTTTTAGAAGATTTGTGGTATGCATTAGGAGGTTTCTGGTTTACATTAAGAAGTTTATGGTGTTCTTTCGAAAATTTTATGGTTTGATTTGTGGGGTTTCTGGTTCGTTTTAATGGATTTGTGGTCGCACTAGAAGGTTTTTGGTTTTCTTTTTTGTGGTTTGCTTTACGACGTTTGTGGTTTGCATTATGAGGTTTCTGGTGTGCTTTCGAAAATTCTGTATTTTACATCGTTTTTTATTTGCATTATACTTAAAGAAACAACAAGCACATTAATTCTCTTCAAGACGGGAATACTTAAGAAACAACCTACTGGTGCATTAAGGATGAATAACAGGAGAATCCAAGCCAACATCGCTTCCTGGATTCGGGGAAGAGCAGCAGGAAGCTGCTGGCGAGGTAAAGATTGTGTACTCGCATCATCCACTTTTAAGAATTTGCATCAAGTGTATAAGCTTGGATCCCATCATAAGAAAATACAGAAGAACAAGCAGAGGAATGCAACCCTTGCACAAACATATACTTTAAACAAACAGAAGCCATGGCAATATTTTGTCAAGGGTTTTGCTTTAGACACAGATCACTCTATTGAAAGATTACCAACAACATGACCCTTCGAAGGGGGTAAAAAGTATTCAAGCTTCTTTATCATCCGATTGAGCTCATTTGAAGGAGGTGGATTTGGGAGGACGAAGGAAACGAAGCATGGGAGGATGATGTAATTGTGAGCGAGAGGATGAAAGGCTGACGAGGAAAGAGGACGGCGGCGGCGCGGGAGACGATGAGTTTGACGGAGACGACGAAGAGGACGTGGAGAGGATGGTGGAACCACGGGTCCTTCCACGACGACAACGACCAGGAGAGCTACTCCAACTTCGGCTCGTACTCCAACTTCACCAGCGGCACGCCGGAGTTTTCCACGGGTGATATCCCCGTGGATCAGCCCACCGACTCCTCCCCCGAGGGCTTCGGATTCAGATCTTCTTCAGCCCGCCGACTCCTCGTCCACCACCACTGTCGCGAATTTCCGAAGAGCGACCGTCATCGTTGCTGTCATCGGTGTCCTCACCCGACTCTAGGCATACTGCACGCTCCACGATGTGGTGCCAGAGTTATTGGATTTGTGTCGGCGCCGGAAGAAGAAGGAACGCTGGGACGATTGAGATCCGTAGGGATTGGGATTTGGGAGCGGAGAAATCAGAAACATGTATTTAGTTGTTTTTTGTTTTAATTTAATTTTTATTTTTAATGTATTTGATTTAATTGACCCTTTTTACCCTGTTGTTATTCTATCCGGCCCCCGGTCCCATTCAAATCTGATGTTAAGCTCTCAACTTCAAATTCTTTCTTCATAACCCACCGTGAATCTATAATCCAGTTTGTGTGGGGTCTATCAAGGCAACTCAATCCCTTTTCTTCCTTATAAGAGCACTCAACCCATTTTTAGTAAAATTCTTGAACAATTTTCACTCTTAATTAAAATAAGAATTTTAAGTTAGCAAGTTAAGTAACACTAAAACCATATCTTAGTCCAATCAGTATTATTAACTGCGCAATTGAATTCTACGGATTTTGTGAACGAAAAAACCTAGATTTATTAGTTTTAGGAAAAACTACATTTATCACAAAAGTCAAAATTTCCACTTTAACAAATTATTTTGCCAAAAAAATAATAATTCTTTAGGTTTGTTACCACGTCCCTGCATCCAACTTTGGTCCTTGCACGATGTTTTGTTCTTTTCTGGCGTTGGAGGTGAGTAAAGAGTTAAGACTTAAGAGAGATGCCACAGTTCAGAATCTTCTTATAGCAGATAATGATACAAAACAAAACAAAACAAAAATCCCTCCCCCACCACTTCCTGGCTTCCGTCTATATTTTAAGTTAGAAGAGAGGGAGCAGAGCAGAGCAGAGAGATTCTCATCCTTAGGGGAGGAGAGATGAAGGAAAGAATGGTGGAGAAAGGCCAGTGCCGTACCTTGTTGAGAGGAGGGAGGAAGAAAATGACTTCTTCTTCTTCCTACAGCCATGGTCTCAGCTCTGGTCAGATCCAATCCCTTTCAGCCCTCTGCGAAGCCTTTATCCCTCCATTGCCACCTCCTGATCAGAAGAATATCATCAACCAGGAAATCCCAGTTGAAAGGCAGCAGGAAGCACTAGCTTCCTTCTATGGTGCTTCTGGGTCTCAATCACCTATCCCTGATGAGGTAGGTAGTCAGTTTTCTCCCCTCTTTGCCTTTTTCAGTCTTCTGTTTGCATGTTAGTCAGCAGCAGCAGCTTGACATAATGATACTGTCTGGTTTTTTCCCCCTCCTTTTGTGAAGGTTGCAGAGCTAATTGTCAGAAGAGGATTGCCAGAAGCAGTGTTGGTAGTGAAACTGGTACTCAAATTACTGTCTTCCAGGTTGGGAACACTGTTGCTCTGTGGGTTTTGCAGCCTGGACTGGAAATGGCCATTCATGCTCAGCTTCTCTGAAATTCCCCTGGAGAGGAGAGAGCAGATTCTTCAGAAATGGAGAGGAGAAAAGCGGAAGATGCTTACACCTCTCAGAGTTGTGTTTGCCGTCATCAAAATCTTCTCCTTGTTTGTCTTCTTCACCAGGGTAAGTTGAAATTGTCACTTAGGCTCGCTGTTCTTTCTTTCTTTCCTTCTTATCAATGCAATCAACCCCAAATCATGTTTGTCCATTGGGTTGTCGCCGGCAGATTGATGATGAAACTCAGAAGAACCAAGCCTGGGAAGCAATTGGGTATCAAGCGGACACCAGGAAAACAACCCATATCAAACAGAAAGGAGGGGAGAGACCTCTGGAGAAAGGAATTGTGGAGACGATCCACGAAACCGACGACACCACTTTTGTGCAATCTCTCATCCAAAAGGGGCTCGAGGTCACCGAAGATGAAAACCACAACACCGTCAAGATCAAATGCGACGCCGTAATCGTCGGCTCCGGTTGCGGGGGCGGAGTCGCCGCCGCAGTCCTCGCAAGCTCCGGAATGAAAGTCGTCGTCCTAGAGAAAGGAAACTACTTCGCCGCAGAGGATTACTCCTCGCTCGAAGGACCCTCACTGGCGGAGCTATACGAGAGCGGAGGAATTCTGTCCACCACCAACGGCAAGACGATGATCTTCGCCGGATCCACCGTCGGCGGCGGCTCCGCCGTCAACTGGTCAGCCTGCATCAAGACCCCCGACAATGTACTCAGAGAATGGTCGGTGGACGACAAGCTTCCCCTCTTCGGAAGCTCGGATTACCAGAACGCCATGGACGCAGTGTGGAAGAGGCTCGGCGTTACGGACGGCTGCAAGAAGGAAGGGTTTCAGAACAAAATCCTCAGAAAAGGATGCGCAAATCTCGGGCTGGAAGTCGAGCCTGTGTCGAGAAACTCCTCTGAGGATCACTACTGTGGATCCTGCTGCTATGGCTGCCGAATCGGGGACAAGAAAGGAACGGACACCACCTGGCTCGTCGACGCTGTGGAGAACAGCGGCGCTGTGATCATCACAGGATGCAAAGCCGAGCGATTCGTCTTCTCCAGCGACGGCGGAGGGGAGAAGAAGAAGAGATGCTTGGGAGTGATTGCGAGATGTTCGAATCCGAATTTGAAGAAGAAGAAGCTGGAGATCGAAGCTCGAGTGACGGTTTCGGCAGCTGGATCGCTCCTCACGCCGCCTCTGATGATCGCCAGCGGATTGAAGAACCCTAACATTGGGGAAAATCTGCACCTCCACCCTGTCCTGATGGCTTGGGGATACTTCCCGCCATCGTCAGATTCAAATTCAAATCCGGAAGACGAGAAGTCGTACGAAGGAGGAATCATCACTTCGATCCACAAAGTCGTGGACTCCTCTTCCGACGAAGTGATCGCCATCGTCGAATGCCCATCGGCGGGGCCAGCTTCGTACGCGGCATTGTCTCCGTGGATCTCAGGGCAGGACCTGAAGGACAAAATGGTAAAGTACCCGAGAACGGCGCTGCTCTTCGCGCTGGTGAGGGATCGGGGATCGGGGGAAGTGAAGCGGGAAGGAAGGATCTCTCACCGGCTGGACAAAGTCGACAAGGAGCACCTCAGGACCGGGCTGAGGCAAGCCCTCAGGATTCTGGTGGCCGCCGGAGCGGTGGAAGTGGGGACCTTCCGCAGCGACGGGCAGAAGATCTCTTGCGGCGGTGCGACGAAGGAGAAGGAAATGGAGGCGTTTCTTGATGGAGTTGGGGTGAGCGGCGGAGTGAAGTCGGGCGATGCTCACTGGTCGATCTTCTTCTCTGCTCACCAGATGGGAAGTTGCAGGATGGGAGCCACGCCGGAGGACGGCGGAGTCGATGAGAATGGTGAGAGCTGGGAAGCCAAAGGTTTGTTTGTGTGCGATGGAAGTGTGCTTCCCAGTGCAATTGGTGTCAATCCCATGATCACTATTCAGTCCACTGCCTACTGCATTGCCAGCAGGATAGCTGGATCATACGCAGTTCATTCAGGAAAGCTGATTTGATTATTCGTTCAATTGTTCTCAGGTTAATCTTATAAATTGGATGATGATAAATATAAATAAATAACATTCGTTTCAAACTAGAAAGATTTCATTAAGAAAATATGCTGGTCTAGTTAAGCACGAGCAATTAGTGCCAGGAAAATAAGAACAGGGCAGGCACTCGTTTTAACCAGATGAGCCTCAAAATAACGAAGATCAACGATTCGCTGTCTCGTCTCGCTATATTATTTGTCATTGATTCCAGTCCAGATCATGGTTTCTTAGAAACTTTGCAGTGGAGAAATGAAAACAGGGTAGGAACTTGTATTCCTTCAACTTGATAGTGCCTTTACTGCTTTCTCGGCAGCATCGTCCAGGTCTTCGGCTGTAATTAGGGCCATTCCGCTTTCCTGCAGAGGTGTAAATTATCAGTTGAGACTGCAGCTATGAGACAAGTTTGTTCATCAAAATCATCAAGACAGCCATTATAGATAGTAAAGATCACCTTGAGGATCCTTTTCCCTTGATCAACATTAGTGCCTTCGAGACGAACCACCACGGGTACTTTTAGTGAAACCTTTGAGCAAGTAGACCAATGATGGATTTAGTTGCTGGGTAAAGTTAAAACTTAAAAGTCCCCTACATAGTTAAGAATCTCAGTAACCCTATGGCCATATTAAAGTTGCCAGAAGTTACTTGAGCTGTTTTAATTGCCACATTTAGATTCTCAACAACTTCATTTCTCAGAGGGCCAAAGGTACAAAGGGGAACACAAAACAAGCATCCAAGTACAATGCAGCAAAGATTGAAAGAATGCCAGCTAAAGAGTCAGGAAGGCCCTGTCAACTCTTGTCCCTCAGTTTTGTTACACTAGATTAATAAATTTATGGCAGCCAACTAATCACAGAGCAGATTTTTCGGTGGCCATTGGAGTAGAAGGTTGTTCCATCAGGAATTCATGTGGGGTGCACTAAATTCGTAGATGTAGCAATATATCAACTAGAGAAAATAAAAGCGGAATTAGGTGCATGTTCACCTGTTTGGCAGCATTGACAATTCCGCTGGCTATAACGTCACATTTCATGATCCCTCCAAATATGTTCACCAGGATTGCTTTTACTTTATCGTCAGAAGTCAAAATTTTGAATGCCTCAACCACCTGGTCCAAATGTGCCAAAGGTTAATCTATCATGCACGAAATTAAGCTCACATAGCATGACGCTTTCTGCATGTCCGAGTTCTCGACTATTCCGAATGATAGGTGTTAAGTTCAAAGCACATTATCCTCTAAGAACACATTAGTTTACCAACTATCATATTGGGACCATTTAACTTGATTTTAAAACAAGGAAATATGGATGCATTGTCATCTTTAAAGTATTTGCATCTGAAAGTGCAGAGCATACAGTCTACGCACTAGCAGAAGTGCAGAGCAGGCATGATTTACAGACTCATATAAAATGGATAGAAAAGGCGAATCAGCCTAATTCTAAACAATTTTCCATTAAGCAGGAACAATTACCTGGCCTTCAGAAGCATTTCCACCAACATCGAGAAAATTGGCAGGAGTTCCACCATGTAGCTTAATAATATCCATTGTGGCCATTGCCAGCCCTGCACCATTCACCATGCAACCAATCTCACCATCTAGCCCAATGTAATTCAAATCTGCCTTAGCAGCAGCCACCTATAGGAAGAATAACAAATACGAAGATGGTTATCAATAAACAATGACAACAATAAATCAATAATACTTGCGGAAGTTAACATGGAGACAATTCTGACAGTTCAGTATTTCACAAACTCTGCTATCATGCTTATGACACATGTGTAGGCAACTTCCTCAAAGTTCTTGCCAAAACTCAACAGATAAAATTCCCCACTTCCAGCTTACTACATAGTTAGCAAACCAGGTTCTCAGAGGCATAAGTTCTGGAGCTAGAGTAAATATACCTCTCGAGGGTCCTCCTGAGTTGGATCACGGAGTGCAAATAACTCCTTCTGGCGGAAAGCAGCATTATCATCGAAGTTCAACTTAGCATCAGCTGCGACCAATTTGTTATCAGCAGTTTCTGCAATGGGATTGATCTGTGACAAGAAGAAGTTTCACACTGAGATATATGCAGGAGGCTAAGCCTGTTCGTTCGTCGAAGTATGTCATGGATGGGTAATTAAGCAACAAACCTAACCTTCAACACTTTGTTATGATGTGGTCTAACATCCACACGTTAAATATAAGAATTTGACCAATGCATCAAGCAACGGGAAATAAAACAGCATATTGATTCGAAGAAAAGGAATATCAACTGTCAAAAATAGCAAAATTGATAGTAAGGAACGAAAGCATGGTTAAGGAATTATGCTCACTTCCAACAATGTGCAGTCACTATCGCAGAAAAGTTTATACAATTTCTTCACTTGCTCTATGCAATCCTTTTTATCGGCAGACTTCGGAGCCAACCCATCGACAACCTTAGCCGCATCTTCATCTGTGATTCCTTCAAAAACGTCGATGGGTACCTGCAAAAGTAGTTAACAGCTGGGTTAAAACTTAAGCACAACAAAGCAATAGAGGAATCATAAATGTAATTGACATCAAAATGTGAAGCTAGAAAGAGAGAATCCTACCTTAATAATCAAGTCAGGGAATTTCTCAGCTAGATCTTCAATGCTGGTTCCACCTTTCTTACAGGCAATGATAAGCTGATAAAACAAAGGATTTGCATTGTTATCAAACAAATTTGGAGAGAATAAAGAAGACTTGGTGGGTGGGGATTATAGCACGGATTAAAACAAAACAGAAGTATTGATCAAATTAAAAAATGCCACGCAAAATGGAAGGCGGAAAAATGAGCAATTTCAGTTGAGAAACATACCGGACCAGCAGTTTGACGATCCAACATGATAGCAAAGTACATTTCATTTGTAAGAGACAATTTTTCACACAAGTAAACCTGCAAACAGAGAAGTAATCATATTAGTAGCTATTCATGTGTGAGACTTATCTTTCAGAAAACAATTTCAAGAGAGTCTGGAGGAGACATTGAACCCAAAGGAGAATACCATAGACTCAGAAACTAAAAGATTCTATTTCCTTTTACTAATTGATATTTTTTCCACGAACCCAGATCTGGTTTAAGTATGTGCAAGGGGATGCATTATAAGGAATACAGCTTATTTCTATTACATATATTTTCTAATATCTGAATGGGGTTAATTTCTCGATGCTGGTCCTCTGAGAGTCACGAAGATGATAATGAGGACAGCAGAAGAAGAAACAATAGATAGGAGTGACACGTAATTTCATGATCTAATTGACTAAAGAATGTTAACCTTGCTGACAACTTTTCCTTGAGGGCCAGTTTGCTTTGTGACAAGTACTTGGCCGAGCATTTTTCCTGCAAAGAATAAAAGGACAACGTGAAATAACCGGCATGAAAGCATGCATAATAGAAATCCATCTATACGAGGTTCAAACCTTTCATATCGATCACATGAAGGGAAGTACCTAAGTGCTGAGACAGACAGACACTTCTACTGCTAAAAGAAATCAGCATGACCAGAAAAAGTCCCCAACAGATGATTATAAACACGAACCAAGAATAGAGAGAATGATCATTCAAGGATTCAAATGTTTATATCACTGGCAACAATAATACCTGATTCAGACAGATTCCTACAGAAGAATCGACACAACCAAAGAACTTCTTGACCACAAATAAAACACTAGTTTCACAATGCAATGTCCAGAAACTTTCCAAAATCAATGCGAAACTGCTAGTTCTATTCTTTTATTAATCTGCATACAACTGAATGAACCCACCAAGATTCATTCAGTCTGGATGAGTTACACAAACCACATGAGGAACATACATTATCTATCAACAAAGTCCATCTCAGTTTAGATGTTAACATTAACTACCACATTGTTCTTTTCCAACGCAAGAAAAAGGCAAGTTTTCCAACCAGAGAAAATCAACAGATCAAGATGACAATAGCCTAAGAAAGGAAACACCGTACTGCTTGAACAACAAAAGGAAAGACTGCATTTACCAGCAATTTCTTCAACCTTTTCGCTCTTAACAATGTGAACACCACCCTGAAGACCACTTTTGAATGTCCCCAAACCTCGCCCACCAGCCAAAATCTGGCTCTTAACAACTATCTGCATTCAAAGTAACAGTACAACGTAATATCACTGGAGCTAGCTTTGATGAAACTAATGTTATGTTATATACTGGATAGGATACTAGAGGCCTAATTCTCCGACCTGTCACTTGTATACTGAATGAAAAGCATTGTCAATTACCTCGCTTTGATTAGGAAACACCTCCTGAATTGCCTTCCTGACCTCCTCGATGGAAGAAACAGCTACACCTTTCGGTACGTTGATTCCATGTTTACCCATCAATTCAGCTCCCTGGATGCAAATAATCCCAAGAATTCAATGACAAGCAGCATACTAACGGTAATAAAAATCTAAACGAAACTAGTAAAAACACGTGAGTTTTAACAAAATCATAATTCATAGTCCACTAGATAACTCCCAACTATCTTGGCAATCCATACTGAGGAACTAAACGCACTCGACAAATCTAATCGCAAATGTACATCCTCCACAGACGCCCCCGCTCATTTTTGTGAGCGCAAACTCGAGGGCAGGAATGTATCGCATAAGCTTTGCCGGTTTTGGCTCGTAACTCGCAATCAGCGACAACGTATAAAACCACGCGACGCAATAATCTCAACATCTAGTCATGGAAATACAGATGGATGGAGAGGAAGGAACACCTGATACTCGTGGACATTCAGACGACGGAGCTGCTGCTGCTGCCATTTTCCGGCGACGGAGAGCGAACGCGAGACGACCTTGTTGATTAACCCTCTCATTCTTCCGCTTGGTTCAGAGATCTACTTGTGAGGGTGGCCTGCTCAGCAATAATAATAAGAGACGCCGGAATGGAACGAGAGAAGAGAACACAGCCGGAATCAGAAGGGAGAAGCCGATCGCGTTTGTGCTAAGACTTAAGAATGAAGCGGAACCCCTAGACTTTTCAAGTTTCCCCTTATTTCATTTTGACCCTTTATTTTTTGTTTTATTGTTTCTCCAACCCTTCCAAGTTTTACGCAGACCATTCTCAAAAGTATTTCCTTCCAAGTTTAAATTGACGATTTACCCTCGGGAAATCTTTTCATTTTCCTTTTCTTTTTTGGTAATTGAATGGTTGGTCACTAAGATTATGAATTATAAAAAATTAATGTTGTCAGAACCGAACCGGAGCATGACCCGATAATGCGAATGGCTTGCACTTTAGTGGTCCAACCGGCATTAGATCGTTTAAAAATCGTTAGAGAACCGGTACCTAATAAACGTTATCAGTATAAATAGTGGACATTTCTTAATCAGAACTCGTCTCTTTCATTTGAAATTGTGAAATGGAAATAAGGATTCAGTTTGAGAGCCCGACGTTTTTTGTTTATATCAATTTTCAATTTTCTACAATTTTTTAATTAAATTTAACGGGTGAATGGCAAAAACCAAACGAGTGGCTCGATCGGCTCGAGCGGTTAACCGCTTCGGCCGCTCGTCAACCGCTACATAAAACTTGAGCGGCTTTTAGACTGTTCTGAGCCGGTTTTGTGACCGGGTGCCGGTTTTACCGGTCGGGCCGAGCGGCTCGTCTCGGCTTTAATAACACTAAAAAAACGTTCATGTTTGGTCACTGGTAATTATAGGTGTCAATCGAGCGGGTTCGGTCTGGGTTCAATCGGGATCGGGTTCAAACGGCTTGTGGTTTAGTCGGGTTGCGGGTTCATCGGGTTCGGGTTCAAACGGGTTGTGGGTTAGTTAGGTTGCGGGTTCATCTGATTCGGGTTCAATCGGGTTGCGGGCTAATCGGATTTTGGGTCGGGCGGGTTGCGGGCGGATCGGGTTGCGGGTTGTTCGGGTGAGCGCATCAAGTAACTTACTCATTACTCGTTACCAACTTACACATTTTATTACACTAATTTAAAATATTTTTCTCAACTTTTTAACCAATTTCTTTCTACCTTGTATATATATACTTAATTAAAAAAAACTAGTCAAAATGTTGAATCAATTTGTATGACTTGCAAACTTGTTATGTAATTAATCGTAATTGGTATAGTACACTAGCTAACAGTAATGGTGATATCAACATTTGCAACCAAAAGACACCATTAATTGTTTATTTGATATTTTTGTATTATTTCAGTCGTAATTGGATTAAAGTATCTCGTTTAATGTAACCACGCAAATCTGGTATTTGGCAAAAGCAGCATGATAAAAGGAGTTATTTCGAAATAACTCATTGTCCAAATAACTTCAGTAAACTGTTGTCAAACAAGTTATCTGTAAAATTGTTTGAATTATCCTAAAAATTGAACCATTAAAGATTAACTATCAAATTTAGTAAAATTGTTGCGACTTCAGTCATAACTTACTCAATAACATATATCCTATACACTTAGTCTTACCCTCAATCGACAATATTAAGTTAGTGTATGTTGTTGATCGTATACTCTAAACCATCAATACATTATACACTACCCACATACCCTATACCCTTACCATATATCATTATGAGTTGTGATTTTGCTAGTATAGTTAATTTAAATGTGAAATTCATACTTTGATTTTCAAAACATAGATGAAAAATTGATTTTGCTAATTGCTATACCCTAACCATATATCATATACTCTACACCATATACCATGTACCCTAACCACGTACCATAAACATAAATTAAAAAGGATCTCCTGCCGTTAAAGGCTTCAAATGACTTCAAGTGAACATATGTAAATAAAAAAACTTAGAATCGTCAAAATCGTCAATACCTTATACACTAACCATATACACCCTAAACCATTTGTACCTTATACCCTATACCCTAACATATACTTTATACCCTAAACAACAAACCGTCAAAGATTACTTATCAAGTTTAGTATAATTGTTGACTCATATTCACACACACCCCCCACCATAAATTTTTCATTCCAAAGTTCCCTCTCATTTCCTATTCCAAAGTGACCCGCAAGGCCGCAACTCGATTAACCAAAATTCTCAAATCCGCAACCTGCCTGAGTTATTGCAATCGTATGACTTAACATGCCAAGTTTAACCCCATTTTGAAATAAAAGTTCAACACGAACACAACTTAAATGTGCCAAAATTTTACTAAGTGTTGTAAATGACTCGCTGTTACTGTCACTCTAGAAAATGGCCAAGTGCAACCACTTCCTAAAGCGTAGTATAGCGGGTTTGGGTTTTATTATCAACCCGGGTCCTAGATGTGATGACTACTCGGTGAATTTTTGTTATTTAGCGGTGAACTTTTAGTGCAACTCAAGCAAACAAAACACAAAGCAAGTAAACGGTTTGTTGTCAAGTCAAGAGAGGTCACCCGGATATGGTTCCCCCTAGACTGCAGTTAAGTCAGATTGCAATTTACCAAGTTCAGTTTTCATGAAGGTTATACTGCGGAAGGTTCTCAATTAGCCTGAAGTCTCGACTAAAGGTCTCCAGACCCTCTCAATCTGAGTCTCTAGCGGGCGACTAACCTCCACCGGAGTAAACAGATTGAGGCCCTAATAAACCAAACCTCCACTACCGAATTAACTTCGGTACAGAATAGCGAATTGGCTCCTCGACTAAAGTCACCAATTCGCCACCTTCGATTAAGGGTACTCTATCAACCTAGGCAGATATTCTCATTCTAGGTCAAAGCAGAAACAACAGGAATTTGATCAGGATTCAAGTCATTCAATCATTCAAACCTCAATCGAATATAATCAATTCACAAACTCTGTACTTGGGTTCATACAATCAGACCTAGCATACAAATCTAGGGTTCTCCATACCCAGATGAATGGGGAAACTACTCCATAGAGAAAGAAGCAAAAGCAGATTCAGACACGGAAATCATACTGTGAAGTTGGATTCCTGCTGCTGGACGTTTAATCGCACTTCTCCAAGCTCAAGACGGGCTCCAACGGTGTTGAAGATCGATCTATGGCGCTTGGGAACTCTGGTTCGACGCTTTCTCTCTCTAGGAATCGATTTCTCTCTCAAAAACTCGGAACCCTTTGAAAATTGGCCTTCTTCCTCTTTTATCAGCTGACCCCGCGATACCCGGTCGAAATACCCGGTCGGGTATTTTATGGTTCGACCGGGTATTTCGAAACGCACCGTTCCACTAAAGGGGAAAATCCCCGGTCTACCACCAAAATCCCCGACCGGGGATTTATCGCCATCGCCCGGGCCCCCTTCTGTTTCTCACGGGTGCCCGAAGGAGGAAATACCCGGTCAAGGCCAGAATATACCCGGTCGGGTATTTCTTCCTTGGACCGGGTATTTTGGCCCAGCAGCATCCTTTGTCCAATCTTCGCTCCTTTCGATCCGGAACTCGTTCCTTCGCCTCGATTCCAACGCCAGGACCTGAAATATGACATAAACACACAACCTAGCGTAAAATCGGCTTAAAATACGAGATTCCTCATCACAAACGGCTTCAGAATAGGGGTGAAAACATGTATGATTATCGGTCTATCAAACTCCCCCACACTTAACCGTTTGCTTGTCCCCAAGCAAACCAAGTCAGACACTAGGTAAGCTTACAAATCAATCAACCAACACTGGGGACAAGTCATAAAGGCACAAAACACGTGAATCGCACTGGTTTTCAAACATCAATACATGCACAACCTCAATAACAACCTGGACAACCACAACAAAGGACATTCGAGTGCAGCAAATCGAGTAAAGGAAGAGTCTCCCGTCTGTTCACTAGCCAACCTAGACTTGATTCAACCACTTACTCAAAACAGTCAACTCATGCATCCAACTCAAGACATCAGAATAGAGACCGAGCAATCTAGGTCCTCACCGGGGTACAAGAGCATATAGAAAATGAAAATGAATCACTCACTCTCGACCAGTGGGGTCAGGACAATTTGATGCGAAAGATGCGCATGCTATTTCTCTCAATCCCTATCATCTCTTCACCATGATGGCAGCCTCTAAATGCTAGAGTTCACATATGGGGTGTCACCACTAACTAATCAGGAGGTCTTAGACACAGGATCAAATGACTGGCTAGGGTCTTGGACATGGGGAAAAAGCCTTTTAGGTGGTGGAAGTATTCATAGCAAAAGGTTCCACATTTTCCAAACACACAATCACAATCAAACAACCCGGTATTTTCTTTCTGCTATTCTGCATTACTCAATATCTTAAGAGCACAAGAGCGAAGGAGGCATAAACATCAGCATTTCCAAGCCAGACTGCTAAGAAACACTGCTTACTGGGCATTATTCAGATTTTTTGTGGTGGCTCTCTTTTACTTCCAATTTTTTCTTTGTTTTTCTTTCATTTTTCTTTTCATTTCTTAAGAGAACCACCACTTCGGCATAAATTTCAAACACCTGCCCAACTTTAAGCACTACCTCCAACACTCAAATAGACTTTAGCAGAAACAGCAGAGAATATATAAAACCACTCTGTGGAACCTTCTAAAAGATGCAACCAGGGTGATTTTTTCATTATAGACCAAAAGAAAGGATAACACACGGCTCAAAGGGGCTGACTAGGGGATATGACACATCAGGACAGTCAGTTTTGGGCGTGGGCTAATCCTATGCCCCCATCATTTCAGCTAGTGACAACGTGAATGCTACACATCATGGAAGAGGGATCTATCGCACAAGAAAGAAACGAGCAGGCTCAAATCTCACATGGCTACCTATATGCTCTATCTCACATTCTGATACCCTGAACTAGATGCATAAACGACTGTCAAGGACAAGTAATCAGATCAAGTCAGATCAAGTCACAGTTGGCAAGCAAACAGTTGAAAAACTGAACCCCTACATCGTTCTACTGCACATCTCAGTCCTCATCATAGGTTGTCCTAGTCGCAAGCAAGTTGTCATGCATTAATCCGAAAACCAATCAATTCATCCATCAAAACACAGTGCCAATATGATCAAACAGCAGTACTTGGAGCCCTCAAATCGTAAGATTCGGACAGCGGACTAGGCTCCAAGCACACAAACAGATCTAATGCAGTCAAAAGATAAACACCCCCCCACACTTAAGATCG